TTAGAATTCAAGGCACACTTAACCAGCATGGCTACCACAGAATTCTACAGCGATACACCATCCCATCTGGTTTGGGCTTAGTGGGACTACTATTTGTTTTTCAACAGGACAATGATCCAACACACCTCCAGGCTGTGTAAGGGCTATTTTACCAAGAAGGAGAGTGATGGAGTACTGCATCAGATGACCTGGCCTCCACAATCCCCCAATCTCAACCCAATTGAGATGGTTTGGGATGAGTCGGACCGCAGAGTGAAGGAAAAGCAGCCAACAAGTGCTCAGCATATGTGGGAACTCCTTCAAGACTGTTGGAAAAGCATTGAAGCTGGTTGAGAGAATGCCAAGGGTGTGCAAAGGTGTCATCAAGGTAAAAGGTGGCTATTTGAAGAATCTCAAATATAAAATACACTGATTTGTTTAGCACTTTTTTGTTTACTACATGATTCCATATGTGTTATTTCATAGTTTTGACGTGTTCACTATTATTCTATAATGTAAAAAATAGTCAAAATAAAGAAAAACCCTTGAATGAGTAGGTGTCAAAACTTTTGACTGGTAGTGTATAAGGATGATTTATAAAGCCAGGCACATCTAATAGTTTGGCTATTGATTATAGACCTAATTTAGTTGGGGTTTCAATCTCCTCAATTTTCTTAGACAATTAGGCTAAGCCCTAACCGCACAGGACTAGTATTACTGGAGAAAGTTGGTTATGTAATTACCCCAGAATATCCGTTATTCCAGAGGATGATTCGGAAGGATTCGTTTTTTCGAAACTGCCCCCTGTAATTATTTATTTATTCTTCAATAAATTGACAGTTATGACAGAAGCCTGGAGGTTTTTTCCAGGCGATAACAGGGCTACACTGATAACTCGAGATTGGTTCCCAAGTTTCTAAACCATACCAAACCATCTTTGGTATAGTGTCGCCATAATATTTTAATTGAGGAAGTGTGATCATAATCATTAGGATATTTTAGCAATCCGCAGTAGACGTCATAAATGCCCCCCAGCCTTCAGATGTGAGCTAAACAGTGCACTTGCACTTGAGATGCGAATGTTAACTTTTTTCCAAATGTTTAGGTCAGTTGTATGCTGCTTTGCGATCTATTAACAGGAAGGGTTACATTAAATAGGCACAATATGCTTTACTGATACATTTAGCAATATTCAAATCATACACACAAAACATTAACAAAAGCATTCACTGTGAAAGTTGATACATGTAGGACCTTCATATATAGGCTATGCGCAGATTCAAATTATCGAATCAGTTATTGTTTTCTTGCTCAAACCGTGAGCAACACCTGTCAAACTCAGACATTTCTCTCAAACACAGGGATGTCGATTTGCATGGGGCTAGTATTATCAGAGGACCTTGGAGTTCGCCAAAAAACAGTAGGTTATTCTGGCTGGAATTGATACTCTCCTGCCATGTACAAATTACTGACATGGCAGATTTGGACAGGAATGAAAGATGTGCTGTTTTGTGCTTGTGCACATAATTACATTACCAAACCACCCCCAGTAAAACTAATCCCGTCCGAATAGGGTTTAAGGCAAGGCCTGTCAACATTCAGGTCAACATTCACAAGGCCGCAGGGCCAGACGGATTACCAGGACGTGTACTCCGAGCATGTGCTGACCAACTGGCAAGTGTCTTCACTGACATTTTCAACATGTCCCTGACTGAGTCTGTAATACCAACATGTTTCAAGCAGACCACCATAGTCCCCGTGCCCAAGGACTCTAAGATAACCTGCCTAAATGACTACCGACCCGTAGCACTGACGTCTGTAGCCATGAAGTGCTTTGAAAGGCTGGTCATGGCTCACATCAACACCATTATCCCAGAAACCCTAGATCCACTCCAATTTGCATACCGCCCCAACAGATCCACAGATGATGCAATCTCTATTGCACTCCACACTGCCCTTTCCCACCTGGACAAGAGGAACACCTACGTGAGAATGCTATTCATTGACTACAGCTCAGCATTCAACACCATAGTGCCCTCAAAGCTCATCACTAAGCTAAGGATCCTGGGACTAAACACCTCCCTCTGCAACTGGATCCTGGACTTCCTGACGGGCCGCCCCCAGGTGGTAAGGGTACTAACTGTAAGTCGCTCTGGATAAGAGCGTCTGCTAAAATGACTAAAATGTAATGTAAAAAATTTAACAACACATCTGCCACACTGATCCTCAACACGGGGGCCCCTCAGGGGTGTGTGCTCAGTCCCCTCCTGTACTCCCTGTTCACCCATGACTGCATGGCCAGACACGACTCCAACACCATCATTAAGTTTGCCGACGACACAACAGTGGTAGGCCTGATCACCGACAACGATGAGACAGCCTATAGGGAGGAGGTCAGAGACCTGGCCGTGTGGTGCCAGGACAACAACCTCTCCCTCAACGTGACCAAGACAAAGGAGATGATTGTGGACTACAGGAAAAAAAGAGGACTGAGCACGCCCCCATTCTCATCGACGGGGCTGTAGTGGAACAGGTTGAGAGCTTCAAGTTCCTTGGTGTCCACATCACCAACGAACTATCATGGTCCAAACACAATAAGACAGTCGTGAAGAGGGCACGACAAAGCCTATTCCCCCTCAGGAGACTGAAAAGATTTGGCATGGGTCCTCAGATCCTCAAAAAATTCTACAGCTGCACCATCGAGAGCATCCTGACTGGTTGCATCACCGCCTGGTATGGCAACTGCTTGGCCTCCGACCGCAAGGCACTACAGAGGGTAGTGCGTACGGCCCAGTACATCACTGGGGCCAAGCTTCCTGCCATCCAGGACCTCTATACCAGGCGGTGTCAGAGGAAGGCCCTCAAAATTGTCAAAGACTCCAGCCACCCTAGTCATAGACTGTTCTCTCTGCTACCACACGGCAAGCAGTACCGGAGTGCCAAGTCTAGGTCCAAAAGACTTCTCAACAGCTTCTACCCCCAAGCCATAAGACTCCTGAACAGCTAATCATGGCTACCCGGACTATTTGCACTGCCCCCCCACCCCATCTTTTTACGCTGCTGCTAGTCTGTTAATTATTTATGCATAGTCACTTTAACTCTACCCACATGTACATATTACTTCAACTACATCAACTATCCGGTGCCCCCGCACATTGACTCTGCACCGGTACCCCCCTGTATATATAGCCTCCCTACTGTTATTTTATTTTACTTCTGCTCTTTTTTTCTCAACACTTTTTTGTTTAATTCTACTTTTTTATAAAAAATAAATGCACTGTTGGTTAAGGGCTGTAAGTAAGCATTTCACTTTAATGTCTGCACCTGTTGTATTCGGCGCATGTGGCCAATAACATTTGATTTGATTTATTTCCTCATCTCTGCTGCTGCTGCCTCCCCAGCATTGTTCTTAATTTTGCTATTATGCACACAGCAACAGGTGCCAATTCTACGGCGCACTGAAGATTGTTTCAGAACCGCGGACAGCGACCATATCCAACGCGGGAGACAGCGCAATTGTTATAAAATCTTAGATTTAGTGTTGCACCATTATTTTCACATAATATAACCATATACAATTTCAGTATCACATCTTAGAGTGATGGACTGTGCCATCCCTGTGGCCTCCGCAATGGATTAGTCCTCTGAGATAGGCGCGAATCAGACCGGTGTCTTGTGCACCATGAAAATTAATTATAATAATTGAGACTGCTCGACTAAAGAAATCTTGGTCGACCAACAGCCTACCGACCAAACACTCGACCAGTCGACCAAATGGGCTCAGCCCTAAAACAAAGTGTCCACTCCGACAATGAGAATGGTAAACTGTAATGATAATAATATATTGAATGCATTAACAGAAATTACCATAACCAAACATTGTAGATTAGAAATTACAGGAATTAATTATAAATGTAGGCTACTACTGGTGATATAAGTAAATGGGGAATTGATAGACTAACAATCAAAGGGTAAACAATTTACACAATGAAGTTATGTAACAATGAATGCGCACGGAATGGCAGGAAAGCGCATTCTGGAGACGCGCCTTGTGCATTTTAGCCACAATCCCAATATTCTAGAACAGTGGCAACCCTGTGGCCTCCTCAATGGATTAGTCCACTGAGACAGGCGCAAATCACAGGTGCCTCGAGTGCCATGATAAAAAATAATCTATTTGGTACTGCGCGACTAAAAACAATCTTGGTCGACCAAAGAAAATCTTGGTCGACCAACAGCCTATCGACCAGCCAACCCTACTACAGACCCAAACCCAGCTAATCCAAGCCCAGTTGTAAGGGGCTGGCCTTGCTACACATTCACCATAGTTGCTTGAACCGTGCCGGAAAGGCCAATGTGAAAGGAAAATAACCAAGCCAGCCCAGTTCAGCACAATAATGTGAAAAGGCTAAGAGTGGACCAGGATCACAGCTCTACCACAGCCTTTCAGATTGAGTACGGTCTGGGTATTTTCTGTCTCCTCTCTGGGGTCCTGCTAATCTTTTAATTACAGACTATCACACCAAGACAGACAGGCCGGTCAATGGAAACTGACTTGAGTATAATGGAAAATAATGGGAAATGTGACAAAACAACTAGGCTATGACAAACAACTAACCTTCAACAGAAGGACTGACAGATATGCCAAATGTCTATGTCACCATGCTATGCAAACATGCTACTCCTATGCAGTATGCAAACATGTAATACAAAACAGGCCTATGTGGGAGGCCTACACTGTGTACATACATAAGATACATACAAATACTCTGCCTATGTCTATTCGTGGCCTGAAGACGTTCTTTCAGAAACAAGATTAAAATAGACTGCACACATGCATAGCCGCTTATTTAAAAGGGCTTAAACGAGGAGAAGAGCTTTCAGCATTATTAACATCTGAGTGGTCACTGAATGGCCCCGAGGCAGACTGTCTGATTGACAAGTGAATGGCTCAGCAGTACCCTCCTTCCACCTACCTACTTCATCTGACAGTAAGTGAATGGTTCTCTGTTCTCTCCTTCCTACACCAGCTGGAAAAACACCAGCTCAGCTTTAAAGGAGAATCTAGGAAGAATAGCCCACAATGGTTGCCGTTCTCTTTGACCTCTATCACCAGGTTCATTCATTAGGCAGCAAATGGAAGAAACTGCGAAGGACTACCTGGACCAATGTTTTGTTACGATGTGCTCTAATGACCCAGCGCAACTAGAGAGAGAAAACCTCCCAAAAGGATGATGAAACTAAAGCATGGCGCATTCTGATCCTAGACTTCACCTCGGCTGCTGTGCATCAATGAATCCTTCTCCACCTGCTGCAGCAGCCTCCCTAAGGTCTCAGACACACCAGTAACGGTTGCTGGCCGAGAGTACTTTGCACCTCTGAACGTAAATTTGCGTAACCTGAATGTGCGCTGATTTTACATGTAGAATTGCGTGAAAAACGCAAGATCCACATTCGGTGCGCTATGTGCGAGCCTTAACAACAATGCTATATCTAGAGTTAATAAAACCTGGTTTAAAATGCCCCCCCCACCCCCATAGCATTCACAGCAGTCTGTTCCTCGTCAAAATCCACCCCAACATCCCTCAATACAATCCTATTCAGTCTAGTTCACCCATAAAAATAAAAAAAATTATGTCAATGAATGTGTGCAAACCTAACTTTTCATGAAACTAAGGGGGGGGAAATATTGTTCAAATACAGCTTTAAATAAACTGCATCCTTCTAAACTCGTCTCTATCTGCCGTGGACATGGAGTGATTTTCAGCCATCTGGTTAGGGTTTTATTTGAGCCCAGAGGAAAAGTCTACTAATGCCCCATTTCTTCTGAAAACGTCCCTGGATCTGGGCACGTTCCCATTCTGTTGGCATTGGCAGCTCTAGTTTACTTTTCTTAACAGAAAAACACCATTCAGGCAGCGCGGACACACACAGTGTAGTACCCACCTTGACTGGATGGCGAGATAGATGGTGCGGCGAAACGCGACCAGGTTGACTTCCGTCTGGTCGAAGATGGTGACTTTCTCTGCATCTATAAAAGGACAACAATCAATAGTTATCAGGATGAAGGAGGGGTTGTATTCATTGTTGCACCATCACAAGTTTGTCATACTATCTGTCTCCAAACAGAGGTCAGTCAGTCTGTCTCACTCTTTACAGAAAGTTATCTAAACTCTTCTTAAATTGTTAGTGTGGGAGGGATGCTGAGCAGATTAGCAATGAACAATGTGGTCCTGTGGCATGGTGCTACTAGCCCACAGGGATAACAGACATGCCTCTTGGGCAGTTCAAAATGTTGATTGGGGACCCCCTTGCTGTGAAATGAAATAATTTTTCTTGAAAATGTGTATTATACTGTATTTTACATTGTATTTGATTTAGTAAATTGTGTATATGCAGGGCTCCCTTGTAAAAGAGACCTTGGTCTCAATGGTGACTCCCTTTGAAAATAAAGGTAAAATAAACATACTGAAAAAAGACTGCACTCACTGTAGTATAAGTCACTTTGAATAAAAGTGTCTGCTACGTGGCATATCTAGAAGGAGAGCAGAGCAGTCAGACCACTCCTTCCTTCCTAATGGCCTTGGTATGTGGTGCATTTCCTTTGCAGATCTGAGCCGCTGGGGATGATGAGATTTCTGGGACAGATAACCTCTGGGACCAACGAGGAGCCAAGGCCGAGGCCACCACCACTGTCCCAAAGTGCTCCCTCTCTCAGTGAGGACACAGAATACCTACTGCAACATCAGTGAAAAGTTCCATGTAGCCTAGCCTATACTTTTCAGGTGTGTTCAGGTGTTGTCTGTCTGTTTACTGTTGTTTGTTTCGATTCTATGTTACTTGTGAGCTGTGGAAAGAAATGGCTCATGAGGGATATGCCTAATAAACGTAATCAATCAGTCATCAATCAATCACTGTCACTATCAAAAGAGTCACATAGACCCTAGTATATGCATATATACCATCTCCACCCTCTTCCCCCTCTTTTTCTTCATCGCCGTCATCTTCATCATCGTCACTTCCATCCACATCTTCTCCAGAGCCACTGCTGCCCTCATCCAGAATCTCTGAGGGGAAAAGAGACAGGCAAATGGCATACTGTATGTTAAAACAATCATCTTCTTCCACATTTTTCGCCCAATAGTTTCCCAAAACATTGTCTTTCACAATAACGAACTGAAATGTCTCCCAATATGTTAACATTCATGTGTTAACATAACTATGTTTACATAATGTCACTGTGACAGTATAATGCAATTCATTTGGTATTGGTAATACAGAATTACTACTCCATGGTAGCCGCAACACTAGCTAGGTAGCAGCATGGCTCCACAACCACTTATCCATTACACAGCATTCATTTCAAAGGCAACTGTACTAAGAATGGCCTTATTGCTTCACCTTAAGGCATTTAATTGGCCATGTGATCCTTCAAACTATCAACTCACCCTTCTTAATTGCTTTGTACTTCTCCTCATTCTCCAAGAAGTCTGGATCCATCTTAAAGACATCTGCAAGATAGACAGAAGCACTGTTGTTTTTAATAGCAACCATTCGTTTGCAATTAGTACATTTCGGAGCAATTAAAGTTATTGCAAATGAGATGCAACCAGAAGTAATTACCCATAAAAAACACAAGCACTGTGTATTAAGAGGCAATTCATAATAGGGCTTAATGTGATAACTGCTTTCCTCCCCTCTCTTGCCCCCTGAAGGGATGCTAGTATAGATTTTCAATTAGGACAAGTTTGTCTGTGCTGAAGCTACAGAAAATATGCTTATTCTGTTGAATTGTACAAACATAAATAAATAGCAACACAGATGCTTAGTCTTAATGTCAGTTTTGAAATGTAACCCTCTATTATGAGACTGAAGGAAAGAGAGAGACAGAGACAGAGAGAGCAAGAGAGAGAGAGACCAAGAGAGAGAAGGCAAGAGAGAGAGAGAGACCGAGAGAGCGACTGAGAGAGAGCAAGAGAGAGAGACAGAGACCAAGAGACAGAGAGACCGACAGAGAGAGAGACAGAGAGAGAGACAGAGAGAGAGACAGACAGAGAGAGAGTGAGAGAGACAGAGAGAGAGAGACAGAGAGTGAAAGAGCCAGAGAGAGAGAGAGCAAGAGAGAGAGACAGAGAGAGAGAGAGAGACAGACAGAGAGAGAGAAAGAGGCAGAGAGAGAGAGAGAGACAGACAGACAGACAGAGAGAGAGAAAGAGAGAGAGAGACAGAGAGAGAGAGAGACCGAGAGCGAGAGACAGAGAGAGAGACCGACAGAGAAAGAGACCGACAGAGAGAGAGACCGACAGAGAGAGAGAGAGACCGACAGAGAGAGAGACCGACAGAGAGAGAGACCGACAGAGAGAGAGACCGACAGAGAGAGAGAGAGAGAGAGTCAGAGAGAGAAAGAGACAGAAAGAGAGAGAGAGAGAAAGTGAGAGAGAGAGCGAGACAGAGCGAGAGAGAGAGAGAGAGAGCGCGAGACAGAGCGAGAGAGAGAGAGAGAGAGAGCGAGACAGAGAGCGAGAGAGAGAGAGAGAGCGAGACAGAGAGCGAGAGAGAGAGAGAGAGAGACAGAGAGGGCTGTGTCCAAATATCCATACTTTCGTCCTAAATAGTAGGCTGATTCTGTATGCTGAAAAAATTGAGTATACTTTAAATGCCCGGATGTCATGCTCATTTCGGCTTTGTCAACAGCTTATCAATTAGATATGAGGATGCGCTACCGAAATCAACGAATAGCGGGAAACAACGCAATCACGCATGACGCATTCGCACAATACGAAAATAGAATGTTTAATAATAGTATGTGACGTTTCGAAAATCGAGTATGGTTTAAATGCGAGGATGTTATACTCATTTCGGCTCTTCATCTAGTAGAATTCAATGCACACTTTTTAACAATGCATTGGAAAAGGTGGGCTGCGAGTGACAGGCCCCAGTTCTCTTCAAGTAGCCAACAAAACTAGACTACTTAATAGCGAAGATGCCCGAAGCTTCTGTGGTGGTGTTCTAATGTATGCTCAGTAGTTTTTGTTCTCCTTAACATTTTCACAAGTCTTTATTTAGATTTTGGGGGGATTTCTGTTTTCTCATTGAAAAGTGTTTATTGTTCTCTTGGCCTTCATCAGAGCTTTTAAACTAAATACTAAACCATCTTTTGATTTTTGAATGTGTCAGCACAGGGGACTCGGAATGTGGCTGCGTTATTGATGTCATGTTAATCAGGCCTATTAATTTGAACATTAGTTTAGTTCTGCAGTCTAGGCTACCTATTTAATTTATGAATCAAGCCTTAGCAGTCATTCTGATCTCGTTCCCAATTATCAGTGCTTTAGTTTATTTTGTTGCTGTCCAGCGGTTCTGAATTTGCCATGCACCCATCCAAGTTTTTCTGTGCAATAGTCTTTTGATTTGAACATTTGAAAGTTTTGGTGTGTGTACTAGGCTATTTGATTTAATTGATATTTGTTACAGCACTTTGGTTTCACTAATACATATGTTGATAGAACCTAATTATCTGTAGCTATCTTCAGTCCTTTTTTATATAGGATAGATGGGCTACATGGTCTAGTACGGTGTAGGTCGAATGTGATAGTCTGCCTACAACCAGTTTGAGAGAGAGGTCAAGAAAGATTGAGAGACCGACTGTGATTTCTCTCTTCTCAGAGAACATTATTTGATACTGGGACATCTATAGAGACTGATAAGAGAGGAAACACCCAGCTATATCTGTATAAGCCCCAACTCTTAGGGACCTAAAGGACAGCAGGTGAATTGACTGAATAATGAGACAGGGTATTTTTCTTTCTCCCCTGGCAATGAACCATGATGCTGAACACTCAAATTATCACAGTTAAGTCTCAATCTCATTTGCACTGATTTGAAAATACATTATTCGTGAAAACAATATGGTCAATGCTAGTCATTAGGTGGCTTTTACCTGGTCAGTAAAGACAAGGACAGTGGTGAAAGAGCCAGGATGTTAAAGTGATGTTCCAAAGGTTTTGTTTCATTTCAGCCAGTAGTTTTGAAAGTAGTGCTCACGAGCCAAAACGGGTCCCCGAATATTTGTTGTTGTTGTGCAATTTGTATGATACACTACATGACCAAAAGTATGTGGACACCTGCTCATCGAACATCTCATTCCAAAATCATAGGCATTAATATGGAGTTGGTCCCCCTTTTGCTGCTATAACAGCCTCCACTCTTCTGGGTAGGCTTTTCACTAGATGTTGGAACATTGCTGCGGGGACTTGCTTCCATTCAGCCAAAAGAGTGAGGTCGGGCATTTCACTGATGTTGGGCGATTATGCCTGGCACGCAGTCGGCGTTCCAATTCTTCCCAAAGGTGTTCGATGGGGTTGAGGTCAGGGCTCTGCGCAGGCCAGTCAAGTTCTTCCACACCGATCTCGACAAACCATTTCTGTATGGACCTCGCTTTGTGCATGGGGCATTGTCATGCTGAAACAGGAAAGAGCATTCCCCAAACTGTTGCCACAAAGTTGGAAGCACAGAATTGTCTAGAATGTCACTATGCTGTAGCATGAAGATTTACCTTCACTGAAAGTAAGGGGCCTAGCCCGAACCATGAAAAACAGCCCCAGACAATTATTCATCCACCACCAAACTTCACAGTTGGTACTATGCACTCGGGCAGGTAGCGTTCTCCTGGCATCCGCCAAACCCAGATTGGTCCGTTGGACTGCCAGATGGTGAAGCGTGATTCATCACGCCAGAGAACGCATTTACACTGCTCCAGAGTCCAATGGTGGCGAGCTTTACACCACTAAAGCCGATGCTTGGCATTGCGCATGGTTATCTTAGGCTTGTGTGCGGCTGCTCGGCCATGGAAACCCATTTCATGTAGCTCCAGACGAACAGTTCCTGTGCTGACTCGGTAGTGAATGTTGCAACCGACAGCCAATTTTTACGCTCTACGCGTTTCAGCACTTGGCGGTCCCATTCTGTGAGCTTGTGTGGCCTACCACTTAGTGTATGTTACGAATTCCAACTCGTACAATATGTTACGAATTTGTAAGTGCTTAGGATCTGGGACTGCATCTTTAACTGATTAGGCCTTCTAGCTAGGGGGTATTCAGTATCTCTTATTGGTTGTAGTCCTCTAGGGGTAACATATGTGTGAACTGATCCTATATTCTATTGTATATAGTATCTTACTCAGTATATCTTCCTGGTTGTAGTCATCCTCTAGGGGCAGCATGTGTGTGAACTGATCCTCTTCCTCCACTAGGTCCAGCCCCTCTGGGACGATAGGGTGGTCCTTAAACCCGTCCTTCCTGATGGCAAACATCACCTCGATCATGTACTGCACACGCTTGTCTATCTCCGACTCGTGAAGGATGTTACGCAGCCGCTCGAAGATGGCTGAAAACAGACACAGACAATGTTTGAATCATAGAAATATAATTATATTTCTATGGTTTGAATTTGATACCAAGAAAAATGCAACATAAGAGCACCAAAAATAAGATCACCAGAGAAATCAATCAAGAAATCACTAGATTTCTCTGAATGAGCTGTGATAGACTGCTAAAAGGATTCTGTAGCTGTGATGATGGAACTGATGCTTCAATCACCCACGCCTGTTCAAACTGTAAGAACAGAGCGGAAGTGTTGTGTATTGCTATGTACCATTGATGCCTCTAGGTGAGACCTCAGTGTATTGCTATGTACCATTGATGCCTCTAGGTGAGACCTCCGTGTATTGCTATGTACCATTGATGCCTCTAGGTGAGACCTCAGTGTATTGCTATATACCATTGATGCCTCTAGGTGAGACCTCAGTGTATTGCTATGTACCATTGATGCCTCTAGGTGAGACCTCCGTGTATTGCTATGTACCATTGATGCCTCTAGGTGAGACCTCAGTGTATTGCTATGTACCATTGATGCCTCTAGGTGAGACCTCAGTGTATTGCTATGTACCATTGATGCCTCTAGGTGAGACCTCAGTGTATTGCTATGTACCACTGATGCCTCTAGGTGAGACCTCAGTGTATTGCTATGTACCACTGATGCCTCTAGGTGAGACCTCAGTGTATTGCTATGTACCACTGATGCCTCTAGGTGAGACCTCAGTGTATTGCTATGTACCATTGATGCCTCTAGGGGAGACCTCAGTGAGTTTGAGGCCACACTCCTTGAGGAAGCTGATGGACACCTCCACGCTGTCGTCTGTGGGTCTCTCCAGGAGCAGGGTCAACATCTCTAAACATAGCACCTCATGGGCCTGGGCGGGGAACAAGGGAAATAGGATGAAAACACTGCGTGTGTATGTGATCTAGCATAGCCAATAGAAAGAGGACTTACCACATTCTGATTGACCAGGTGGGCAACAAACTTTGATGCCGTGAGACATTGTGCCTGAAAAACAAGGACAAAAAATCATTTTGAGTTCAGTTGGTAGAGCATGGTGCTTGTAAGGCCAGGGTAGTGGGTTCGATTCCCAGGACCACTCATATGTAAAACGTATGCACACATGACTAAGTCGCTTTGGATAAAAGAGTCTGCTAAATGGCATATATTATTATTATTGTATATTTAACTACAAAGAGTGGCTCAGATACATTACAACTCCTTATTCTCCACAATATGTAACAACATTTAAGTTGTTTTAGTTCAAACATCTAGTGCATAACAGTATGAGCAAGAGGAGCCAAAAAGGCCAACATGGGCTTGTCAGGTACACATGATCTCTTAAATGAGGCAGCAGTAGCGTCTGGAGCAGCCAGTCACCTTGTCGTTCCTACGGTAGCCCTTGCGGAAGTTAAGGATGAGTCTCTTGAGGATGAGCTCTCCTATCTGAGGGAACTTGGAGTTGATGATGGCTACGACCGCAGCATAGACGTGGGTGAAGGTGGCCGAGGCGCTCTGGGCCTGCAGGGTGGACCTGGCCAGGAGACCTCTGTAGAGCAGACACACAGACAGACACACACACACAAACAAACAGACAGACAGACAGACAGACATGAAACACACACATTAGTGATCTGCACTTGTATGAAGCTAATCTGTCTCAAAGCTCACTTTAAGAAACGTGAAATGTTTCCGATTGACATCTTGGAAAGGTCCCTCTTGTAAAAGACATTTGATCTCAATGAGAATAGCCTGCATAAATAAATATGAAATAAATCCATTAGAAATCTCAGTCCATTACCTGCCCCTGACGATGTTCTCCTGCAGCAGTTCCTGGATGATCATGGCGATGTTGGATACGTTCACCTTGTTGATCAGACCATTGATGGACTTCTTCAGAGCCTCCCAGCTCATACGCTGGTAAGCCAGACTAGAAAGAGGGGGGTAATAAGTAAGCTCTTTGAAACAATTGGCAAGACCTACTGTATTTTTTGTGTATCTGGACTAACTGGTGTGATGGTTGTCCTTTGATTAGAAAAATAATTGTAATACATGTTCCCTGACAACACTGCGAATTTCAAAATGGTCTTGTCAGTATATGTGCAATAAAGTAATAAAAACATTGCATTTCTACAGCATACAGTCACTGAAGCAGAACATATTTCAAAGTGCATTCCTAAGCAATGCCACGACCTACACTAAACACTACCTCAAAACAGTTAATAGACCGGGTCTGAAATGTATCTGCATTCCCCAGTTCCACTCTAGATTAAGGGACAAAGTAGCACCTTTAAAAGGCATTAGTAGCTAGGTTTCCATCCAATTGGCGACAGATTTCCATGCAAATATTCTAAAATCCACATAAAGAAAATATGCGCATTTTCCCACAAGTGGTGTGTTTCCACCTAACTGGCTTGTTGCGGATAGAAATCAGTGCGTGATGACATAGTTCACACAAAATGTACTTTTTCGCTTATGTTTTCATGTACCGAATAAAAATCTAAAGTTTAATGTGTCTCCATCACATTTTCAACTCTTGATTTTGTCACAAACACTGTTGCATTAAATAGCAAATGTGCACTCTAGCCAACAGCCCAGATACAATGCGGGTAGGCTGTGTGGGTAGGCTAGTCTATATGATGAGATTATTATGGATAAGAGCAAAAATATTGAATTTGTCCAACGGCAGTCAAGCATCAATCATCATTTCACCAGAAGAAGACCCTCGATATTTATTGGAAAGCAGCATCAAGATCACCGTGCACTTTCACCACCCTGTGAAGTTAATCATAACTTATTTCATCTGTAGCCTAACAAACTGCATGGCTTCCCGAGTCGTAGTGGGAGGACCACACACCATATCATCCCGACTCCAAGTTTACCTCGATATGATGGTTATTATATCAATATTTGTGCATAAAGGAGTTTACACTGACATTTCTCGTATAATTCATTTTACCGACACAAAAAGATCCCACCATGTCAAACAAATATATTATCTATTGGCATTAATAAAATTGTACCGAAACTTCCTTTTTCCATCATAGCTGTCGTGATTTTTTTATTTATTTTTTATACAGGGTGACTTTACTTGGATGGAAACGTGGTTAGTAACTGGAAACTTTCCCTGAAATAACAAAAACTCCTCCTGCATCCCCAGATTAGCTGGTCTGGGATAGTGTTGATGGTGCTGCTTTATTCAAGGCCTCTAGTGTGGGGCTCTGTGTGTGTGGGGGGCTATGTGTGTGTGTGTGTGTGTGTGTGTGTGTGTGTGGTGTTCTGTGTACTCAGTGTGTGTGTGTGTCTAGGCTCTGGGAGGACAGGATAGTCCTCCCATCTATCCTTCCAATCCCCTTCATTGCCCTCCTCTGCCCCAGAGGATCTTAGTGAACCAATCTCTACTTCATTATCCATGTCACCTCCTTGGCTATGTCCCAAATGGCACCCTGTTCTCTTTATATTGCACCTTCTTTTGACCAGGGCCTGTAGGGCTCTGGTCAAAAGAAGTGCACAACATAGGGAGCCATTTGGGACGCACATCTCGTCTCAGGGCGCTTGGCCTCAAGGAGCGAAGATGCTTGTCCAGGAGATGAGGTTAGAGGTAGGTGACTGTGTGAAAACACCTTGAGTGAATGTCCGAAATAGCATCCTATTCCTTATATAGTACTCTGCAGGGATTCCCTATATAGCACTACGTAGGGAGTAGGGTGCCATTTCAGACACAGCCACAGATATCCACACCTCTCTCAGAGAGTCGGCTGCTAATTTTAGAGCCTGGCTCTGACACCTAGCTCCCTCCAGACTAAAAATAAATATATATTGTGTCGTCATCCATTGATTTCCTTGACAGCTCGGAACAAACGATATGGCATTTGAGCCTGATTGCATTTCATTATATATATATATTTTTTTACCCCCTTTTCTCCCCAATTTCGTGATTACGATCTTGTCTCATTGCTGCAACTCCCCAACGGGCTCGGGAGAGGCGAAGGACGAGTCATGCGTCCTCCGAAACATGACCCACCAAACCGCGCTTCTTAACACCTGCCTGCTTAACCCGGAAACCAGCTGCACCAATGTGTCGGAGGAAACACTGTTCAACTTATGACGAAGTCAGCCTGCAGGCGCCCGGCCCGCCACAAGGAGTTGCTAGAGCGCGATGAGCCAAACCATCTCCTAACGCGGACGACGCTGGGCCAAATGTGCGCCGCCCTATGGGACTCCCGGTCACAGCCGGTTGTGAAACAGCCTGGGACCGAACCCGGGTCTGTAGTGACGCCGCAACACTGCAATGCAGTGCCTTAGACTGCTGCACCACTCGGGAGGCCTCAAACCGCGCTTCTTAACACCCGCTCGGTGAACCCGGAAGCCAACTGCACCAATGTATCGAACCCCAGGCTGTATTGACTCCGCAACACTGCGATGCAGTGCCTTAGACCGCTGCACCACTTGGGAGGCCCTGCATTTCATTATTTTATTGAAATCGTCATATTTAATTATTTCAAAGAAATATGGTCAAGTTTAATTCTCGTTTTGTGTCAACTACACCATCCCATCATGATGTACAGTGAATATATTTGATCCCCTGCTGATTTTGTACATTTGCCCACTGACAAAGAAATGATCAGTCTATAATTTTAATGGTAGGTTTATTTGAACAGTGAGAGACAGAATAACAACAAAAAAATCCAGAAAAACGCATGTCAAGAATTTTATAAATTGATTTGCATTTTAATGAGGGAAATAAGTATTTGACCCCTCTGCAAAACATGACTTGTAGTTGGCCACCAGGTTTGCACACATCTCAGGAGGGATTTTGTCCCACTCCTCTTTGCAGATCTTCTCCAAGTCATTAAGGTTTCGAGGCTGATGTTTGGCAACTCGAACCTTCAGCTCCCTCCACAGATTTTCTATGGGATTAAGGTCTGGAGACTGGCTAGGCCACTCCAGGACCTTAATGTGCTTCTTCTTGAGCCACTCCTTTGTTACCTTGGCCGTGTGTTTTGGGTCATTGTCATGCTGAAATACCCATCCACGACCCATTTTCAATGCCCTGGCTGAGGGAAGGAGGTTCTCACCCAAGATTTGACGGTACATGGACCCGTCCATTGTCCCTTTGATGCGGTGAAGTTGTCCTGTCCCCTTGGCAGAAAAACACCCCCAAAGCATAATGTTTCCACCTCCATGTTTGACGGTGGGGATGGTGTTCTTGGGGTCATAGGCAGCATTCCTCCTCCTCCAAACACGGCGAGTTGAGTTGATGCCAAAGAGCTCGATTTTGGTCTCATCTGACCACAACACTTTCACCCAGCTCCTCTGAATCATTCAGATGTTCATCGGCAAACTTCAGACGGGCATGTATATGTGCTTTCTTGAGCAGGGGGACCTTGCGGGCCCTGCAGGATTTCAGTCCTTCACGGCGTAGTGTGTTACCAATTGTTTTCTTGGTGACTATGGTCCCAGCTGCCTTGAGATCATTGACAAGATCCTCCCGTGTAGTTCTGGGCTGATTCCTCACCGTTCTCATGATCATTGCAACTCCACGAGGTGAGATCTTGCATGGAGCCCCAGGCCGAGGGAGATTGACAGTTCTTTTGTGTTTCTTCCATTTGCGAATAATCGCAACAACTGTTGTCACCTTCTCACCAAGCTGCTTGGCGATGGTCTTATAGCCCATTCCAGCCTTTTGTAGGTCTACAATCTTGTCCCTGACATCCTTGGAGAGCTCTTTGGTCTTGGCCATGGTGGAGAGTTTGGAATCTGATTGATTGATTGCTTCTGTGGACAGGTGTCTTTTATACAGGTAACAAGCTGAGATTAGGAGCACTCCCTTTAAGAGTGTGCTCCTAATCTCAGCTCGTTACCTGTATAAAAGACACCTGGGAGCCAGAAATCTTTCTGATTGAGAGGGGGTCAAATACTTATTTCCCTCATTAAAATGCAAATCAATTTATAACATTTTTGACATGCGTTTTTCTGGATTTTTTGGTTGTTATTCTATCTCTCACTGTTCAAATAAACCTACCATTAAAATTATAGACTGATCATTTCTTTGTCAGTGGGCAAACATACAAAATCAGCAGGGGATCAAATACTTTTTTTCCTCACTGTAGGCTATAAAGTATTTCCAGTCTAGCAGACACCAGCTGAACTCACCTGCTCTTGTCAGTGATCTGAGCCTGCATCATGCGTAGCTTGGCCGGGGGGATGTAGGCTCCACCAGTCCGGGTCAGGATAGGGTCCAGTTCCTCCTTCTTCTTCTTCACTGGCGGTTCCTCTGCAGCAGGGTCCTTCTGAGCTGGAGAGGGCGATTGGCCCCTCCTCCTGAACTCAGCCTCTCTGTCCCGACTCGACCGGCGCTCATAACGGTCGTAATATCGGTCTCTGTCACGATCATCGTCCCTTGACCTGTGGGTGATGCAAAGGCATCTCCATATATCAATACTGTAGTGATCTTCTTAAGAATGAAGCTAGGGCAAGTCTGAATGTGGTCTACTCTAAATTAGTTGTAAACACAATATAGATTTATCACATTTGATTTAGAAAGCCCTTTTTACATGAACAGTTGTCACAAAGTGTATTAGAGTAACCTGGCCTAGACCCCAAAGAACAAGCAGAAGTGGCAAGGAAATACTACCACAGATGAAAGAAACCTCAAGTGGAACCAGACTGTGCCATGTTGTTTCCGTACCTGCCGTAACCTCCTCTACCGTAGCGCCGATCCCTCTCCTGACTTCTGGAACGGGACCTGGAGCGGGACCTGCGGCGATCATCATCCCTGGATGGACCAATGAGAAACAAAATTAGTGTTGCAAAATTCCAGATTTGTTTCCCAGTTGGTGGACTACCAGGATCAGGAGGGAATAAGCAGGGGGTGAATCCTCCAACTGGGATTTTTGGAAAATCTATGGAACTTTGGAATTGGGAAAGTTGAACGTTTGGAAGGCCTGGAGAGTAAAGGATGACTTATAGCTCTTTTTTTTTGTGTCATTTAGCAGACGCTCTTATCCAGAGCGACTTACAGGAGCAATTAGGGTTAAGTGCCTTGCTTAAGGGCACATCAACAGATTTTTCACCTAGTAGGCTCTGGGATTAGAACCAGCGACCTTTCAGTTACTGACACAACACTCTTACCCACTAAGCTACCTGCCGCCTCTTATCTGCAGCTCTACAGAGTTAGTCACTCACCTGTCATCTGGGGTGGGGCTCCTGCCTTTGTTCACACTCTGGTCATCTGGACCATGCTGGAACACAAAACACAACATGTCAGAATCCCCTATCTGGTCAGTGTCTGCAAACACATTCCCACATTGCACACTTTTGTATTTGCATAACGCTAACAATGCAAATACCAGCTTAGAGGGCCAGTTTCCCAGACACAAATGAAGCCTAGCACTGGACTAGAAAGCATGCTCAATAGAAAATCTCCATTGAAAATGCTTCTTAGTCCAGGACCAGACTTTTCAATCCTTGTCAATGAAACGGGTCACTGAATGTGGCTGTGTCAGTCACTCACCACGATCTGTGCCACACTGCTCTTCATCCTGCGGGCCACTCCCTCATCACTGTCTTCCTCACTGCTCTCATCGTCAGAGCCACTAGACTCCCCCTCCTGGCTGACACTGGCATTGGATGGGACCCTACTGCCCCTGGTGGCTTTGGAGCTGGCTACTTCGGGACTTCCTAGAACTACGGGGGCCTCCGATCCAGGTCTGGCCGCTCTGAGGCCTTCGTCTCTGGGACTGGCTGCAGGACTATCTGCCCCCTCTGGTGCTTCCACTGCAGACAAAACACAGTTAGGTTAATAAGTGGCTTTTCAGTTCCACATGACATTGTAGGATTATGAGTGTAGGTCTATTTGTCCAAAATGAAATTGGCAAACTCATATGTGTCTTAGCTTCATCACGCTTGCCTATTGTTGAAAATAGTGAATGTGTTGTTAATGAAAGTGGGATATGAACATGTGTCTTGTGTCTTTTAAAATATAGACCATCTACATTCAGACCACAAGCAACCAGCAAGCAAACGAGAGTGAACTTTAAAAATGTAAATTGACATTCAGTTAATGCTCTATATGAGAGACCTGACTGAGCTGAAGGCTTAAGAGCAGGAATAATTGATGAAGTGCACTGTAGCAGCCTGCTGTGATGGATGCCTTATTGGACCAGTGACTCGTCCTCAGTTCACGTATTTCTGACAGTTGGCAGATTGAGTAGACTGTGGCAATATTAACTTATCATGCCGTTATTACAGCTAATCTGTTAAAGAAACAATAGAGTAGAAATTAAATAGTTATACAATTAAATTATTTAAAGTTGAATATTGCGAACATTCTTTCAAGTTCTGTCTAATGCGTATAGTAGGGTGTCCACCCACTCTGCCCAGAGCGGGTGGAAACGCACTTTGGTGATGAAATTTCACATTTTACCAAGACAAATATGATTATTCATGTTCTGAATTGTTCAGTGGGGTCTTTCTCGAACATATCATTAACATTGATTATATCCAAAAAGTCAGATTTCGTAACCTAATACATCCGATAAAAAGCACCGAGCTCGGTTGACATAGGTTACTCGTAACAACTTGAGGATTTTACATTGTGTGATCGTCGTCTTCAAAGTTGTTTCCGCGGGTCTCAAAAAGCAAAATTAGCATGACAAGAGCTGAATTAAATGTAAAAGGCTTTGAAAATAAAAAGCTTGGTATTAGTCAGTACTCCGTTGACATTTCACAGACATACGCTTGTTTTTGTGAGAAATCTTCTAAAAGAACAGGAATTTAGAATTAATATGTGAAGTGTATACTAAAATATGAAAATACTACATGTCATGTCTCAAAATCGTTATCCATCTTACCTCTATATATTTTTTTTTCCTGCCAATTTTGTTTAAAAAAAATATCCTCTGGCCTACATTGATTTAGTCACCCTAATTCTGGCCATCCTACAAGGGTAAAAACTCCAATAACTTTTGAACGGATTAAGAGAGACATGAGGTTTGAAACTTGGTTTTCATAGAGTATTATCAACCCAATTAACATATTATTTTACCCATTGGTAAAAATATGCGTTTTTGATTGGACACCCTAGCTATAGTGAAACAATCAGCCTACAAAATAGCTTGAGGGAAAGATTGAGAAGCATCCATTAAATCCATACAGTAGCTGCAATTCCAAATCCTTGAGGTGTGCCTTTCAGGCAACTGCAATCTGTGCTAAAACTGAGTCAAAAGGTCTCTGACAGCAATATCCACTTCTAGATGCTAACAGCACTGCCTCACCAACATTCACTGATATATGATGCATTGTTGAAAATTGGCTTTCGCACTTTCTGATTTGTGTAATACCAATTAAAATGTTATAAGGTTGATACTGACAAATAAACAGTAAACATTCACTGACACTATTTGCAACCAAGACAGTGAGAACATCCCGTCTCCGTTGTGCAACAACAACAATAGCAGCATAATTCCCTCCCTAGACTGCTGTGGGGGAAATGCAACAGCTCTAAGGTTCTATCCCAAATGGCATCCACTTCCCTATATAGTGCACCACTTTTGACCAGAGCCTTACGGAACCTGTTCATAAGTTATGCACTACATATGGAATAGGGTGCGATTTAACACACGCTCTAACTCAAGGCAGCCAGAGTAAGACCCTGGGTGTTACAGGGGATCTAGTTAAAGGACTATCAGTAGCAGGCAGCACATTCTGCGCTCTGGCACTTTTCAAATGCCCTTGGGTGGATGTCGGGAGGGTTGTGTTGCCCTCTCCGTCTGTATCCCTCTTTCTCTACCTCCTATTCCCATTCCCTCTCTCTCCATCTCTATCCTCTCTCGCTCTATCCTCTTTCGCTCCGTCTTTCTCCCTCTCTCTCGGAGTAGAGGAAGGATTTGCAACAGCTCAGCAGAAGGGATGATTGAAAGCTTTATCTGGACAATAACACAGACTCAGAGAGCTGCTAGGCTGGAACTGTCCATCTGTCAGTGATGAGGATGAGAGACCAGGTAAACAACGGAAGGGAGATAGCGGTAATGGAGGTTATTGGGACAAATCCAAGTTCCAACAAGGCTGGCGAAAAAAGATATGATTTCTTCTAGACATAATCTGATCGTTGATAGCCTAGTTGTTCATTTTATACCACTAGTCAGGTTTTATTTTTTAAGTGCTAAGATCATACATTTTAGAACAAAGGTAACTTTCTAAAAGTTTATCTAGGTCCATTACATATAGTTGAAGTCGGAAGATTACATACACCTTAGCCAAATACATTTAAACTCAGTTTTTCACAATTCCTGACATTTAATCCTAGTAAAACTTCCCTGTCTTAGGTCAGTTAGGATCACCACTTTATTTTAAGAATGTGACATGTCAGAATAATAGTAGAGAGAATTATTTATTTAAGCTTTTATTTCTTTCATCACATTCCTAGTGGGTCAGAAGTTTACATACACTCAATTAGTATTTGATAGCATTGCCTTTAAATTGTTTAACTTGGCTCAAACGTGTCGGGTAGCCTTCCACAAGCTTCCCACAATAAGTTGGGTGAATTTTGGCCCATTCCTCCTGACAGAGCTGGTGTAACTGAGTCAGGTTTGTAGGCCTCCTTGCTCATTTGTAGGCCTCCTTGCTCACACACGCTTTTTCAGTCTGCCCACACATTTTCTATAGGATTGAGGTCAGGGCTTTGTGATGGCCACTCCAATACCTTGACTTTGTTCTCCTTAAGCCATTTTGCCACAACTTTGGAAGTATGCTTGGGGTCATTGTCCATTTGGAAGACCCATTTGCGACCAAGCTTTAACTTCCTGACTGATGTCTTGAGATGTTGCTTCAATATATCCACATCATTTTCCTTCCTCATGATGCCATCTATTTTGTGAAGTGCACCAGTCCCTCCTGCAGCAAAGCACCCCCACAGCATGATGCTGCCACCCCGGTGCTTCACGGTTGGGATGGTGTTCTTCGGCTTGCAAGCAGCCCCCTTTTCCTCCAAACATAACAATGGTCATTATGGCCAAACAGTTCTATTTTTGTTTCATCAGACCAGAGGACATTTCTCCAAAAAGTACGATCTTTGTCCCCATGTGCAGTTGCAAACCGTAGTCTGGCTTTTTTATGGCGGTTTTGGAGCAGTGGCTTCTTCCTTGCTGAGCGGCCTTTCAGGTTATGTCGATATAGGACTTGTTTCACTGTGGGTATAGATACTTTTGTACCTGTTTCATCCAGCATCTTCACAAGGTCCTTTGCTGTTGTTCTGGGATTGATTTGCACTTTTCGCACCAAAGTACGTTAATCTCTAGGAAATTGGTCCCAAGGATGAACCAGACTTGTGGAGGTCTACAATTTTTGGATGATTTCTTTTGATTTTCCCATGATGTCAAGCAAAGAGGCACTGAGTTTTAAGGTAGGCCTTGAAATACATCCACATGTACACCTCCAATTGACTCAAATGACGTAAATTAGCCTATCAGAAGCTTCTAAAGCCATGACATCATTTTCTGGAATTTTCCAAGCCGTTTAAAGGCACAGTCAACTTAGTGTATGTAAACTTCTGACCCACTGGAATTGTGATACAGTGAATTATAAGTGAAATAATCTGTCTGTAAACAATTGTTGGAAAAATGACTTGTGTCATGCACAAAGTAGATGTCCTAAACGACTTGCCAAAACTATAGTTTGTTAACAAGACATTTGTGGAGTGGTTGAAAAACGAGTTTTAATTTACATTTGGGTCATTTAGCAGACGCTCTTATCCAGAGCGACTTACAGGAGCAATTAGGGTTAAGTGCCTTGCTCAAGGGCACATCGACAGATTTTTCACCTAGTCGGCTCGGGGATTAGAACCAGCGACCTTTCGGTTACTGGCACAACGCTCTTAACCACTAAGCTACCTGCCGCCACAAATGCCTAATGACTCCAACCTAAGTGTATGTAAACTTCCGACTTCAACTGTAGGTGTAGATTTAGCAGGGCAAATTATCTTCAGGTAACAGAACCTTTGTTTATGAGAGGAAAAAGTAATTTCCACTCACCATTGCTCTTCTGCTGTGCCACATTGTTCTCTCGCTCTCCTTCCTCTGATGGGCTCCTGCTGCTGCTCCTACTCCTCCGGGGCTGATCCATGCCACTGGTCCTGGGAGGCTGGAGGAGGAACAAAGGACACACAGCTGGTTTAGCCTACATGGAAGGATGGCGATCTGAACTGAAGCTTGATGTTATGGTGTATGAAAGCAAAGGGCCTGGAAACAAATGATAATGCAAGCTACTCCGTGTACAACCAACACCTCATAGAGCAGAGACATTACATACACAGGAGCAGGCGACAATATGATTACTGAGATCATGTTGTAGGCCACTGGGCACTGGCTGCCACTACTGGAAGGAACTGAAATCAGAGGCTGAAGTAGAGAGGTTATATAAACACACACACAGGTTATAACAAACCTGAAGGAAGCTAAATTATGCTGCAGTTAGTTATGAGGTTATGGGGATTTATTTATTAGACTGGGGCACATAAACAACCAATATATGCACCAGCACCATCTGTATCTGCAACCACAACGGTATAAGACACTTGCCAGACAACCATTCTCAGTTGCCTCTAGTTATCCCTGTTATGTGTTGCTGAGGCACGTCTCACTGGGCAGAACCAGTCCCTGGTGGTGATGGATAAAGTAGGGAGCTGGGTAGGAAAGAAAGGGGCAGCTCTAATAGCCACAACCCAAGAAACTACGCTTAGCTGCTATATGTTTTCCTTTGCAGAAGTGAAATGCTTCATGAAATTACACGTTGCTTTGTTTTTCCACCAACATTCCAGTACATACTGTGATCTAAGGTTAAACAGATATTCCCATTTCAGCAAACTGCTGGGAATCTGACTATGAACTTTTTACATGGGGGAGACGACAGTCAGCCGATAGGTAGACACTGCCGTGTTTCTCTGTCAATGTGTACACAATACAAATATTAGCGAGCGACACATTGTTGGCCACGTTTAGCAAGAGGTTTTGACTGAAACGCATATCATTGTTGTCAGCTAGCCTGTTGCAATCCAGCGTCCCACCTTTCTGTTATCGTGGTTTATGTGGCGTAGTTAGCTAACTTGGTCAGCTAACGTTGATATGACGTGGCGTTAGCTATCTAGATAGCTGGTGCTAGCGATTTTACTTGATCCGACATTCGAACAAGCCATCTAGATAGTACCTTGCTGCATCGAAACGGCAGCTAACATATTGCTTCTTCGCTATAGCGTTAGCTGCAAAGGCGCTCTCCGCCATGTGTGCCGCTTTCTTCCATGTGGAAAGCGCGGCAGCTAGCAAGTTAGCTAACTTTACTAGCCTGGCTAGCCGACAGTACAAAAGGCCCGCTGTAAGTAGCATATAAAATAATTTAATAACTTAGAACTTCTAACTAATACTGTCGTATTCATTTATGGGCTTTTGTCGTTCGTATTATTATATATGGGTACAAACTTCTAGCTACCTCTTCTCTAGAATTTGGGCTTAGCTCCACTGCTAAATCGTTGTCGTTTGTCTCTGTAGCCATTTTCTCCCTTGTCCTCTTCCGCAAGTTTTGCTACGGATAGCAGTAAGGCCCAAAAAGAGCGGACATACACGTAAACGCGAAATCACAGAGACTCATTGGTCTGGTGCTATTTGAAAGACAACAAATCAAACAGCAAAGTATGTTTTTAAATAGTTTTTGTTGTACTCATTTCTTACATTTCTTTGCAGCAGCATGACAAATAGTAATAGCCTACTTACTACTACAGTACAACCTGTACAATGCACATTTTCACAGTCAAAATAAAGAAGTTGTTTATAATTCATTAAAATGTATCTGATTGGTCTCATTTAATGTATTTAATACTAGTTCTGAAAACATTTGATATATAACCATGTACCCCAAATCATAATGTGGACAATGGTAAGTTTGTTACTATGTGTGACGTTGTATAAGGATTTGAAGACAGGCGCAGGAATACGTAATAGGGGTTTATTTTCTCCACCCAACACAAGGTACGTCATGATCACCACACACACACACACACACATGAGGTGTAAACCTTTAAACAATACACGGGATGAGAACCGTAATACCAAGAGCACAATACACGCTACTCACGGGACCAATGGACAAGGGACAACAATCGACAAGGACAATGGGGAACAGAGGGCACATATATACACATACTAATCAGGGGGAATGGGAACCAGGTGTGCGTAATGAGACAAGACAGTCCGGGGATGTTGGTAATGTACCAGATCAGTGACGCCTAGAAGGCCGGTGACGTAGACCTCTGGAGCTGGTGAACGGAATGAGCAGCAGTACCGGGGGGATCTGTGACAGTACCCCCGACACGCTGCACCAGCATTGGGACGACACCGGCCTCGGGGACGACCACAGGAACGCGGTGCGGGTCGGTCAGGGCGCCAACAGTAAAAATCCATGGTCAGCGTCCAGGATGTCCACCACAGGAACCCAGCACCGCTCCCAGTCGATGAGGTACTGGAGAAGCCCGACCCGACGCCTCGAATCCAGGACTTCACGGACCGAGTACACCGGGCCTCCCTCGATGTCTAGAGTTGGAGGCAGGTCGTCACTGGGTCCAGCCTCAGCGAGGGGACCAGGCACCACTGGCCTGAGGAGAGACACATGACAAGTCAGGTTAATGCAGTAATCAGTAGGGAGTTGCAAATGGTACATTACCTCTTTAACCCTCCTCAGGACTTTAAACGGCCCCACAAACTGCGGGCTCAGCTTCCGGCATGGCAAGTGGAAGGGCAGGTTCCGGGTGGAGAGGCCTGTCCTTGTGCCGACGCACGGCCCGCTGGAGACGAGTGTGCGCAGCGTTCCATATCTCCTCAGTGCGCCGAAACCACTCGTTCCGCCGCAGGGGCCTCAGTCTGGCTCGGATGCCAAGGTGCCAGGGCCGGCTGATACCCCAACAAGCACTGGAAAGGAGTGAGGTTAGTGGAGGAGTGGCAGAGGGAATTCTGTGCGTACTCAGCCCAAGGTAGAAAATCCGCCCACTCCCCCGGCCGGTCCTGACAGAAACCCCTCAGGAACCTGCCCACTACCTGATTGACCCTCTCCACCTGCCCATTAGCTTGAGGACGGTACCCGGAGGTGCGACTGACCGTGACCCCCAGGCGTTCCATGAATGCTTTCCATATGCGTGAGGTGAACTGAGGACCACGGTCTGACACAAGGTCAGTGACAAAGTCCACCGAGAGGTGAGACCAGGGTCGTTATGGAACCGGCAGGGGAAGGAGCTTTCCATAAGGGAGGTGTCTGGGTGTCTTAGACTGGGCACAGATGGAGCAGGATGAAATGTAAACCCAGACGTCCCTAGCCAAGGCAGGCCACCAGTACTTCTCAGTCAAGCAGGCGATGGTACGGCCTATCCCAGGATGACCCGACACAGGCGCTGTGTGCGCCCAGGAAAGGAGACGGTCCCGCACGCCCGCGGGGCACGTAGGCGCGGTTCTCCGGGCACTGTGCAGGTGCGGGTTCCGTTGGCAGGGCCTGCCGTATGTCAGCGTCCACGTCCCACACCACTGGCGCGATGATACGGAAAGGGAGGGATGATGGGGGTCTCCTCTTCCTGCCTCTCCTCTGCCTGGGTTGGAGCAGGGGAATTCCCTGGCTTGTCACCTCCTCGCCTATTAGTGGATAGAGGGCAGGTCAGAGAGAAATGACCCCTTTCTCCACCATAGGAGCAGAGGCCCAGATTCCTCCATCACCTACGCTCTTCCTCGGGAAAATGTGTAGAGCCCACCTCCATTGGCTCTGGCCACGGAGCAGGTGTAGCCATGGGCTCCGGATTCTGCGCAGGTCTTTGTAGGGACCGCAGGAGGTTGTCCAACTGGATCGCCATGCTTATGAGCTGGTCGAGTGACAGGTTGTCATCACGGCAGGCTAACTCCATCTGTACCTCCTCCTGCAGTTCGCTGCGGAACACGGTGACCAGAGCCGACTCGTTCCAGCCGGTGGAGGCCGCGATGGTCCGGAACTCCAGGGCGAACACCGAGGCGGTCCTAGATCCCATGCGTAGTCAGAGTAGATACTCACCCCCCCTCTCGGCCCTCCACATGATGATCAAACACTGAGCGGAAGAGGAGGGTGAAGCGCTCGTTGGACTCGAACTCGGGTCTGCCCGTTTCCCAAACCGCGGCACCCCAGTCCAGCGCCCGTCCGGTCAGTGCCGAGATGACTATGGCAACCCTGTCTCTCCCAGAGACAGCCTCGGCATAGCGAGCGAGGTACAGGTCGCATTGCAGAAGGAATCCCTTGCATCTCGCTGGCGTGTCGTCAAAGTGCTCCAGGAGGGCCAGGGGTATTCCGCAGACCGGCTCAGATGGAACGGAGGCAGGTAGTGGTTGTGTGAGGGCTGGTGCCGGAACCAGTGCTGGAGACTGGAGGGACTCTGTACCTGAATGTGTGTATGGTTGCTGCTGCAAAGGTCGTTTTTTTCAGAGCCATTTGAGAAACATGCTGTCTTGCAAATTGTTTGGGGATGTGTGGTCAAACAGTTAGTGCTATCAGGGATCATTGGGACATCCCTACCTTCAGCCCAAACCTTAACTCTAACCTAGCCCAATAATGGACTCAAGGAGGCTAACATTACTCCGTAAACTGCCCATGATTTTGGAATGAGAGGTGTCCACATATCTTTGGTCATGTAGTGTATATCAATGAGCTACTATACCCTACCATCCTCCTCCTGTCCTTTTACTGTCAGTCTGCTTGCAAACATGTGTCTGTGTCCTAAACGGCACCCTATTCCCTATATAGTGTACTACTACTACTTTTGACCATGACCCAGAAGTAGTGCAATAGTCCCTACATGGGGCCATAAGTAGTGCAGTAGTCCCTTCATAGGGCCATAAGTAGTGCAGTAGTCCCTACATAGGGCCATAAGTAGTGCAGTAGTCCTTACATGGGGCCAGAAGTAGTGCAGTAGTCCCTACATGGGGCCATAAGTAGTGCAGTAGTCCCTACATGGGGCCATAAGTAGTGCAGTAGTCCCTACATATGGCCAGAAGTAGTGCAGTAGTCCCTACATGGGGCCATAAGTAGTGCAGTAGTCCCTACATAGGGCCATAAGTAGTGCAGTAGTCACTACATGGGGCCATAAGTAGTGCAGTAGTCCCTACATAGGGCCATAAGTAGTGCAGTAGTCCCTACATGGGGCCATAAGTAGTGCAGTAGTCCCTACATGGGGCCATAAGTAGTGCAGTAGTCCCTACATAGGGCCAGAAGTAGTGCAGTAGTCCCTACATAGGGCCAGAAGTAGTGCAGTAGTCCCTACATGGGGCAATAAGTAGTGCAGTAGTCCATATATAGGGCCATAAGTAGTGCATTAGTCCCTACATAGGGCCATAAGTAGTGCAGTAGTCCCTACATGGGGCCATAAGTAGTGCAGTAGTCCCTACATAGGGCCAGAAGTAGTGCAGTAGTCCCTACATGGGGCCATAAGTAGTGCAGTAGTCCCTACATAGGGCCATAAGTAGTGCAGTAGTCCCTACATGGGGCCATAA